GATACTGACTTGGGAATTTGGAAGAATGGGATGGAGAAGACTGTTAAAAAAGCAAGTTTGTGAGGCATTTCCGGAGCATATTTTTGGTAAATTTGGGATGCATATTAAATATTGAACATTGAAGTCAAATTGAGAAGAAAGGAGTTTAAAGTTAGAATTCAAAGTCTGAGCAGGAAATATAAACTATTAAGTCACGAGTTTATAGGTGGAATTTAAAGCCATGGAAGATCATTCAGGGAGTGAGAACAGAACATTCAAAGACTGGTCCATGAGGAATCACTCTATTGTTTAGAAGTCACAGAGAGGGAGCAGACCTGGGAGGGGCAATAAATTGTTTTCAAGAGATCATGAAACAGAACAGAGAGGAACCTGAAGCGTGTGCTGTCTAAAACTCACTCCAAGTGAAGAAAATGTCTCAAGGTAGAAAGAGAGATTAATTTTGCCAAATGCTTGAAATAAACTGTGCCAAATTCTCAGAACAAGATGAGACTGAAAACTGACCATTGAATTTAGCAACATAGAGATCATCAGTGATTTTGAATCTAGAAGTTTCACTGACATAATAGGGTGAAAACCTAATTGAAGTAGGGTCCAAAAAAGATTGGAAGGAGAAAAAATGAAGACAATAGATTACTTTTGAAGAAGTTTGGCTCAAAAGGAAGGGGGGACATGATACAGCAGCTGACAGGGAAGTAGACCTGCTATAGACTGAATGTGTCCTCCCAAATTCATATGCTGAAACCTGATCCCCAATGTGATGGTATTAGGAGGTGGAGACTTTGGCAGATGATTAGGTTGTGAGGGGCAGAGCCTTCATGAATGGAATTGGTGCCCTTATAAAAGAGGTTCCAGAAAGCTCTCTGGTCGCTTCTGCCATGTGAGGACTCCATGAGAAGAGAGTCATAAATGAACCAGGAAGTGGGCTCTCACTAAACTGAATCTGTTGGTGCCTTGATCTTGGACTTTCAGCCCCCAGAACTGTGAGCAGTGTTTCTGTTGTTGTCAACCATCTGGTTTATGGTATTTTGTTATAGCATCCCACACTAACCAAAACAGGGCTGTAGAAAACTTTTTGTTCTGCCATTTTGTTTTGAAGAAATGACAGCCTTCTTGATGATGGGAAAGATACAGTGAAGAGGGAAAACTGATATTGCAAAGGAAGGAAATTAGTGGATTTAGATGCATGTGAGCAAGAATGGATGGAAACTAGTGACTACATGATCAGGCTTTCAGCTATAAAGGGGCACTGATGCAGGTAGGTGTATGAATACATTGTGTGGATGGGCAGGGGTATGGAAGTTCTCTTTGCTTATTTTCTCAGAGAGATTAAAAACACATTCATCAGTTGAGGATGAAGATGACAAAACTCATCATCAGTTTTGTAAGTGCTCTATGGACACAAAATAGAAATATCAATTCTAGGGACATAAGGTTTCTGTGTATACCTTTGAAATTCAGATTATTAATTATACTACTCGATCTGTGTATGGCTTTATTTATTGTGTCCTAGTTCTAATTCTAAAACAAACATGTTGAATTTTCCCACAGAACTGTATTTTTTAATCAAGTACTCAAATTTATGCATTATTGCTCCATGTACTTAGCAGGTTTGATGGCATTATACTTCTTCATAAATTGTACCTTTTATCAAGATATAAAGTCAATCTCTTTCTTTGGTTCTTAAAATAACCTTCAATTATTTGAAATCTTTGTTTGCTTAGTATCTTTTTTTACACACCTCATAGATGTTTCTTGAAAACAGCATATGGTTGGATTTTGTTACTTGAGTAACTGAGAGTTTCTATTGAAAAATTCAGTCCATTCACATCTAGCATAATGATTAATGATTTATTGCATTATTTATGTATGTAACTTTGGGTTTATTATTTATTTTATATCATGGCTTTCTCTGTTTCCTTGTCCATATTCTTTTGTGGGGTATTTCTGTTTTTGGTTTGTTCATTGTTTAGAATCCTTTTTTGAATTGTCAACTTAGGGACACCTGAGTGATACAGGCTCTGAATTCTTGAAATACCTTAAATATTTCTTTCACTGCATTAGGGATAGATGACTTTTTTGGCTGATGGTTGAAGTCCCTTTATCCTACTAGTCTATACTGCTATTGAACACATTTTTAGCTTCCAACATTACAAAACAGAAGTCCAATTTCATTTTTATTTTTAGATAACTTACCCGTTTTACCTAAAAGCTTGTAAGTTTTCTCTTTACTCTTACAGTATATGAATTTATATGTCTAGTGTGAGTCTTTACTCACTAATCCAGACTGAAATGTAGTTATTTGGCCTGCATTCATGCCTTCTCAAAAAAATTCAACACAAAGACATTTTCTACTATTCTGTTATTTGTTTCTTCACTTTTTCTCCTTGTAGAACTTTTATGTCTATGTAATAGGTTTTATATATCTATTATTTAAGCCTATTATCTGTTTTTCATGATTTCAAACTCTTTTTCCTCTTCTATACTTTCAGGTATTTCATATAGAACACATTTTAGCTCAAAAAGTGACCATTTTTCCCCACCAATTCAATTGCTAACATACTTAATTAGAAAAAAATATAGATTTTCTTTTCACATTTTACTCACATATTTTTCTCATTAAAATGTACAAATGTTCTAAGCTTATTAGAGATATTTATAAAAATACAGTGTAACATAGATTTGTATGCATACACACATACATGCTCACAAAAGATCATGACAGATATGGATACAAAACAGCAGGGGTAAGAAAGAAGGTCCACAATACCCACACAGATTCCAGAGACCTCTCTCAGTCACAACATTGTGCTTTATGGCCAGCAAGTGAACCACTAAGATATTTTGATTTCAGGGAAGCCACAGCTCATTCAAGTAGCAGGTCTTTTATACTACTCCTGTCATGTAGCTAAAACCAGGCTATGGGACCAGGTTCAACAGCAGAAATCAGATGCAAACCATTAATCAATACATTTTCTATAAGCAACACTGGCAGATTTCCCTCTTGGTATTTTTTGGAAAACTATGTTAGCACAAAGCTACATTAATTCCTATGTAGTATATTCCATTCAGGTTTGGCCAAGGATCAATATCATGGCTCCAGGCATCCCTGGAAATATTTGTAGGTTTTCAATATACCAATTGAGAATTACAATGAAATTATACACCATGGATTAGCATTTTTCATCAGGTGTGGAAAATTCTAAATCATTATTTCTTCACATATTGATCTTTGCTCATTTTATCTTTTCTGAGGCTCTAATTTTGTATGTTAGATCTTTTCACTGTGTTCCATATATTTCTGATATAGTTTGGATGTTTGTCCCCACTGAAATCTCCTTGTTGAAATGCAATCCCTAACTTTGGAAGGGGGCCTGGTAGGTGGTATTTGGGTCATGGGGATGGGTCACTCACGGTTTGGTAATGTACTTGTGACAGTGAGTTCTAACAATATCTGGTTGTTTAAGTGTGTGGAGCCTCCCTACGTTCTCTCTCTCTCTTGCTCCTTCTCCCACCATGTGAGACATGCCCATAGCCCCTTCAACTTCCATCATGACTCTAAGCTGCTTGAGGCCTCCCCAAAAGCCAAGCAGATGCCAGCACCATGCTTCCTGTAAATCCTGCAGAATGGTGAGCTAATTAAACCTGTTGTCTTTATAAATTACCCAGTCTCAAGATATTTATTTTATACAAGAATGGCCTAATACAATTTCTTATGTTCTTTATGTGCCTTCTACTCTGTACTTTAGCTTGGAGATTTTATTTACATATACATATAAAAATACATTTTTATATAAATATTTTATATTTATATATAAAATAAAAATTTTATAATACAAATGTTTTTATACAAAACCAAAATCTTCAAGCTAAACATATGAACTATATATGTAATATATAATTAAAATTATATATTTAAAATGTTATTTTATAAAATACTTTATAAATCTTAAAATATCTATTTTAAGATTTTATATGTATAAAATTAAAATATATATTTAAAATTTTATACATGCTTATAAAATGGTAATCTTCTTATTCAGGTATTTGTATTCTTTCCTCTTCTCTAGTGGATCTGATCTGCTATCATACACATTGATTACATTCTCAATTTTAATTTTATTCATAAAATTTTAATTTTTCAGTTAAAATTCCTGATCTTAACTCTTCTCCATTATTGAACATATTAATCAGAATTATGTTTAAATATGTATTTGTTATCTCAATAATTTAGTCAACCATGAATTTGTTTCTATTGTCTTTTTTCTTTCTGTCCTTATAATTTTTTGTTGACTATCAGGCATTGAATATGAAATATTGTAGAAGTTCTGAATAATATTCCTCCTGAGAAAGTTCCTCTCATAGGCAGATAGAGAGGGCAGATAATACCAATCCAGTCAGGTATGGAGCTGACTCAAATTTGAATTGCAGCTATATCTCTATTTACTGCCAATTTGCTTCTGTTCTTATTCTCCCTAACTTGGGGGAACATTGGCCTCTGCCCTTTAGCAGGTATATCTCTTCAGATACACATTTTGTTTCTCTGAAAACCAAAACCTCTTAGCTTTCTTTTTCTTTTAATTTTGGTTAGTTCCTTGAGGTTCAGATCTGATTAATGGAATATTTTAAGTGGCAGGAATTCTAGTTGGCTATCTCTTCCTTGGTGGGTTTTGAACTATAATTTTGATCTCCCCAATCTGTGATGAGACTTCTCAAAATTTTCTGTGCATATCAACAGCCTTCTTCTTATCTTCTTTCCCGGTTCATCTTAAGAATTCTGCTAATTGTTGAAGAGAAAACCACCAAGTTTTGGGTTGGCTGATAAAAGAAAGATTCCCTTTTCATCAGGATCTTGGCCCCTAAGTTCCTTGCTCTCTTGTCAGACATGACTCTAATTTTTTTCTTAGTTATGTGACATTGACCAAAATTATGGAAAATTCTATGCTCTCTAGCCACAGTCCTATTGTTGTATCCAAGTGAGTTAGAAGGAAAATGCCATGCTCTGAGTTCCAAATTAAGAGTTCTTTATTAGCTGGCGACTGACAGATGGCTAATGCTCAAAATTCTCTTGGCCCTGAGGAAGGGGCTTGATTTCCCTTCATACCTTGATTTAGGTAGGGGAGGGGGAGCCTAGCTGAAGTGGAATTTTCCAGAAGTAGAACAAGCAAGTTGGATAAGGAAGCTGGTAACCAGGAGGCAGGAGGTTTCCAGGATTGTTGGTTGCTAAGGGTATTTCCATACAGTCATCAAGGGGAGTAGCAAGGGCAACTTTCCATACAATCAATCACAAAGGAAGGTATTCACAACAGCAGGTAGACTTGCCAAGCAGGATGTGGTTACAATGGGTTACAGGTACTGTGAAAGGTGTGAACCACTCTTAGTGGTTCAAAGCTTTCAGTGCAGCATGACCCAGTAATGTACCTGTGGGGGCCGAGGCAGGGAGGGAGAAGCTAAGCTGGAGCTTACTGCTAAAATGGAGTCAGTCAGACTAGCCCAAGTTAGGTCACCACACTATTCCTAGATTCTTCAATTTTTTGCTATGACAAATCTGTAACATCTTGAACTAAGAACTTGGGCTCTCTCTCTCTTCCCATGCAAGGCAGTTTCTTCACTCCTCCCCCAGGTACATCTCTAAGCATCTGGTGACTGCTCCCAGGACCCCCATCAGAGCTGGTGCTTTGGGTCTCTGCACGTTCAAGCCAGAGAAGGTCCATGCCCAATAATTTTCAAAATGTAGTTTCCAGAGTCATAAGAAATACAGATGTTCATTGTGTGGTGGACCCACACAGAGAGGCTCTGGGCCACCCACCCCTGCTAAACTCCAAACTGTAACTTGGTAGAATTCATTCCTAAAAGTCTTGTGTATGCTGTACTTGTTGCTCTTTATTATTCATATTGGCCTCTGCCCTTTAGCAGGTATATTTCTTCAGATACACATTTTGTTTCTCTGAAAACTGGATCCTCTTAGCTTTTTTTTCTTTTAATTTTGGTTACTTCATTGAGATTCAGGTCTGATTAATGGAATATTTTAAGTGGCAGCAGTCATACAGATGGGGATGACAAAGAGGTCTCTACTTCTGTTGACCATTGAATAGAATCATAAAGCCTGCCATTTGCCTTTGGGAGAACCTGGAGAAAATCTGTTTGCTCTTTCGTCTCCTTATAATCTCTCAGATTTAGCACAGGGACAGTCAGTTTACATGTTCAGCTTCTTCATGGCCTCTGAGAGTCAAGGAACCCCAATAAGTTTATAGAAGTCTCTTAGATGGTCCACAGATGTGAGGTCCAGGCTCTTTTGAAAAAACGCTGTTTACCTCCTCATGCCTAGGCTTTGATGCTGTTCTTCACATTCTTATCTGGCCCATAAGGAAAGGGATGCGGAGAGGTCTAACACTAGGTCTCTAAGAGAGTGCTCAATCCCAACATTTCTCTTTATAAACCTCAGTACTCTGGTTTAGGAGAGGCAGACAACAATAAACAGGAAATAGAGGAGTTCATTTAGGCAGCCATTTCTTATCATCTTCCCCATAATCCTCATATATCTTTTACAGAGAGCCTTCCTGTGATTCATCTTACGAAACTGGAGAACTATTCACTTTCTTTTACATGAAAAAACCCCGGTTTTTCCCAGTATTTACCAACCTTGGCATGGAGAAGATATTATCAGTGTGTCTGGAGATAAAGGCCTTAAGGATTAGTGTTCTTCGTTAATTAGCAAACAATCAGTTGCTTAAAACAAAATCCTAGGATCCACTTCCCTCTCAAAATAAGTTCAAACACATAAAAGTCCAGGAGACTCAGTTACACCTTTCAAATCCTTCATACAAAATAGTTCAGTTTCAAAGCACACTATTTTTTTAAAATGATAAGTTAATTATAACATCAATAGCCAACACTTGATATTTTTGTTCTAGGAATACTGAAAAGTAAATTACATGGCTTATCCGGATTATTTCTGAACAGTAATGAGTAATATTCTCAGGGTGGAAGCAGTGTGGCAGAACAGCCCACTTCCAGTGTTCCTTCTTACTGGTCAATGTCTTTGCATTCAGTAATTCAAATATCAATTGTAGCTATTTAAATACATTGCAATTTACAGCTGAAAAAACTTAAGGGTGAGCGGTTAAACAACATGCTCAACACCACCTAGTGGATAACAATGATTGATAGGTTTTAAAGTTAGTTCTGTCAGTCAACAAAGCCCACATCTTAAAAATGCTATGCATTAAAAAATCTGGAGACAACAGATGCTGGAGAGGATGTGGAGAAAAAGGAACACTTTTACACTGTTGGTGGGAGTGTAAATTAGTTCAACCATTGTGGAAGACAGTGTGGCGATTCCTCAAGGCCTTAGAAATAGAAATTCCATTTGACCCAGCAATCCCATTACTGGGTATATATCCAAAAGACTATAAATCGTTCTACTATAAGGGCACATGTACACGAATGTTCATTGCAGCACTGTTTACAATAGCAAAGACCTGGAATCAACCCAAATGCCCATTGATAATAGACTGGATTGGAAAAATGTGGCACATATACACCATGGAATATTATGCAGCAATCAGAAATGATGAGTTTGTGTCGTTTGTAGGGACATGGATGAATCTGGAGAACATCATCCTCAGCAAACTGACACAAGAACAGAAAATGAAACACCGCATATTCTCACTCATAGGCGGGTGATGAAAATGAGAACACATGGACACAGGGAGGGGAGTACTAAACACTGGGGTCTATTGGGGGGAAACGGGGAGGGCCAGTGGGAGGGGGTGGTGGGGAGGGATAGCCTGGGGAGAAACGCCAAATGTGGGTGAAGGGGAGAAAGGAAGCAAAACACACTGCCATGTGTGTACCTATGCAACTGTCTTGCATGCTCTGCTTATGTACCCCAAAACCTAAAATGCAATAAAAAAAAATGCTATGCTATACTCTCTGAATGTTGAAGCCAGGGAGGGTCCATGCCCAATAATTTTCAAAATGTGGTCGCCAGAGTTGTAAAAAATGGAGGTGCTCATTGTGTGGCGAACTCAAGCAGATAGGCACTGGGCCACCCACCCCTGCTAAACACCACACTGTAAATAAACAGTTCACATTTAGAGTATTTCCTATGTACCAGGAACTGGTTTAAGCATTTTAACTACACTAACTCATTTCAATCTAACAAGTCTGTAAAACGGTTACTATTATTATTGGCTATTAAGAGTAAGCCTGTTAAGCTGATGCTTAAAGATTAGGTAATCCAGCCAACATCTCAGAAGTGGTGTTGCCAGATTAGAATCCAAGGAGTCCCTTGCTTTTAATGACTGTCCTACCAAAAGTTCCTTGCCTAATAAAATGTTTGAATATTATTAATCCAGCCCAAGTGTGAGGGACAGGGCCCAAAGATGCGAAAGTATTTTCCTAACACACTTAGCTAAATAATAGAACAGGCTCTTGCAACTCTCTCTGTGGTCGCAGGACACTGAGGAGGGGCTCTTCTTCTCATGGCTTCATCTCAGCTCCACTGTGCATTTCCCTTCTCTGCCTGGAGTCTCCAGAGGAGCCTGGGACTTTGCAGCAATGCAGGAGGGAGGAAAGCCCCACTGTACCAGGAACGGAGGGTCCCTGGCAACAACAGGGCGGAATTTGAAAAGCGCTAAAGTTTAGACCGAAGCTAGCTAGTGCCAGGGATAGTGGGGTGCCCATTCCGCCGAGGGCGCGGGAAAGCGAGGACAACCAGGCCTTGCCAACCAAAGGCGATGTGACAGCGTTTCCGTGGGGTCGCGTCGACGGGTTCCGCAGTGGCAGGCGGTGAGGGTCACAGAATTCTCCGAAGGCAGTCGCTCCATTTCCCTTTAACTCCAGCCACGCCCCACTTCCCGGGCCCTAAAAGCATCGGGAATACTCCTATTCCATTAAGGCCGGTGTGTCCTCGCCTCATCCCCGAGCGCCAAAGCTCCGGAGCGCACAGCCTTCCAGCGCAGGAATGACAGTGGCCAAAGGTCGGGAGGCGCCGGGATCTTTTGGCCAATCAGGGATCACGTTCACCTGCGCTCTTCCCGCCCCGCCCCCCCCGTATCCATGGAAACACTGCAAGTGTCTACTCCAAGACCCTGGACTTCCGTTTCGGTCCAGCAGGGCTGCGGCCATTGTTTGTGTGGACCGAGTGTTTTGGTCATCCCGGTCCACTCTCTCAGGTTCCGTTAAGTGACGTGAACTCTCGAGAGGACCGAGCCAGAAGCGGACAGGAGCAGGACGAGCTGTGTTTGAAGGAAGAGTGGCAGAAAATCGAGGGTCCGGGACTGAGAAGCGACTCCGGTTTTGAAATCCCGGAGACACCCGTGTAGGTGGGTACGTCACGGCTTCTCTCTCACGTTAAGACTGAATAAAGGCAAGGAGAGGAGGGCAGAAGTAGTTTGGACCCTGGGTATGGGTGCCCGGCGTTCGGTTCTAGGGCAGAGTTCTGGCCGGGATCTGGATAAGCATTGGAGGCCGCGCGAGTCTTCGCTGCAGGAGCAGAGGTTCCTCAGATCTCTGGCCGAGACCCGGAGATCCCGCTCCTAGAGAACCGTTCGTGTGTCTGGTTCTCTGCCGTTTACACTTGAGCAGCCCGTGACGTGTTGGGGGAGCCCAAACCTGTCCTACTCTTGGGGCACGCATGAAACGTTTTTCATCTAGAGAGAGAGGGCTCTTAACTAATTGCTTATCATTTGCCCAGGAACCTACCTGTGATCAGCAAGGAATGACTGGGGTGACAAAGGCTCATGCCCCCATTTTACAGGTAAGGAAACTGAGGCCTTGGAGATTTAGAAGTTTGGTCCTCTTTAAAGTTCTACAAGTGCTTGATGGCAGAGTTGAGCTGATCAGAACCTGGGAGCCCCACTTCTGGACCACTTCTCTAAGACTGCAGGTACCTCAAATCCAGTATTCCTGTTTAACAAGTAGGGAAAGACAATGGAATGATTTTCTACTTAAACTGAACAAAGTAAGAAAAATACCTTGAGAATAGATACTATTTAAGTGTGCTGGTGCTTTTCTGTTAGTAGTAGTAGTAATAATAATAATCTTAGTAAATAAATGAGTTGTAGCCTTTGAAGTTTCTAGAGGGTCGGAAATAAATTCCAAGGTGCCAGTGTTCATAGCTCTCCTTTCTGGTCATTGAAAGGAAACAAGAATATTCATAGGCTTCCTTTTGACCTCTTGTTAGATTTGTGGGTCATAACCAGTTAGTATGTGGGGAATTTAATGAGTTTGAGAATTTATAGTCATACCCAGGTTTTCAATTCCCCGTTTCCTCCTCAGTTCAGCCATCTCAACACTCTACCCTTCCCCAGAAGAGGAGCACAAAGGAGGAAGGAATGTACACTGTTTTCCTCATAGTCTGATCCCAGGTAAGGATGATTGTGTTTTCTCATTTATAAAATGTCCCTGCATTCTCCGTGGGTGGAGGAGGTAGGGGAAGCGGCATTGAGGATGGATGGACTGCACAGAAAATATTCCTCACTTGCCTGAGAAAATTTCGAGCATGCAGGCTTGACTTTGCCCCACCCAGTGTCTTTTCCCAACATTTACTCATTCATTCATTCAGTCACTCAAGTCTACTGTATAATTCATACTGTTGTTGGTGTTCAGAGATAAAGAAATATAAGAATGTCATGGCCAGGTGCAATGGCTCATTCATGCCTGTAATCTCAGCACTTCTGAGGCCAAGATGGGTGGATCACTTAGGTCATGAGTTTGAGACCAGCCTGGCCAACATGATGAAACCTTGTCTCAACTAAAAATACAAAAAACATTAGCTGGGCATGGTGGCACATGCCTGTAATCCCAGCTAATCAGGAGGCTGAGGCAGGAGAATTGCCTGAACACAGGAGGCGGAGGTTGCGGTGAGCCAAGATCACGCCATTGCACTCCAGCCTGGGTAACAAGAGCGAAACTCCGTCTCAAAAAAAAAAGAAATTAGCCAGGCATTGTGGCAGGCGCCTGTAATCCCTGCTACTCAGGAGGCTGAAGCAGGAGAATTGCTTGAACCCGGGAGGCTGAAGTTGCAGTGAGCCAAGATGGCACCACTGCACTCCAGCCTGGGCGACAGAGGGAGAATCCCTCTCAAAAAAAGAAAAAAAAAAAGTCTTCACATTGGGGGGAATAAACTGTATGAGATTAGTAATAATATCTGAAGTTATCCACATTAAGCAGTGCTAGAATGAGTGGCACTTAAAACATAGCAAGAGGAACTCAGATTTGAACAATTATGAGTAGGAAAATACCATTCTAAACAAGAAAGCCATCATTTAGTTTCAGGTACAATTTGAGGGAACAAATAAGGAAACCAGGCTAGTGACAGGGAAGTGTAATATGAATGTATAAAGCCACATTGTGGAGGGCAATTAATGTTTAAACTTGTAATTTATTCTTATGCATCTCTTCACATGAACCATATTGACAGATAGCCATTGTTGACCTTTGGGTGTATTTACTTGTAGTCTTTTGTCTAATACTTATTGTATATACGTACTCACTAGTCTGTACAAATACTGATAGGTATGTATACATGTTCATACACATGTAGAAATATACACATATAGGTATATGCACCCATATACACACATGTATATATAGAGATTAGTATATATAAAGCATTAAATTAAAAAATTTGAGTCATGACAATTAGGCTCCATGAGGGCAGGAAATGTACCTGGTATATAGAACTGTACCATGCATATACTAAGCACTCAGTAAATATTTACTGAATGTATGAATAGCTGTTATTTGTATAAATTTTTCACTTAACATATTATGAGCATTTTTCCAAGCATGTTTTGGTAGCATGAGTTTTATTGACTCCATACTCTTCCATTCTAGGTATATACTATGCTTTATTTAAGTTTGCTTCTTTTTTTTTTTTTTGAGATGGAGTCTTGCTCTGTTGCCCAGGCTGGAATGCAGTGGCATGATCTCAGTTCATTACAACCTCAGCCTCGTGGGTTCAAGCAATTCTCCTGCCTCAGCCTCCTGAGTAGCTGGGACTACAGGCACACACTGCCACACCCGGCTGATTTTTTTGTATTTTTCGTAGGTATTTCACCATGTTGCCCAGGCTGGTCTCAAACTCCTGAGCTCAGGCAATCTGCCCACCTTGGCCTCCCATTAAGTTTGCTTTTATTGGGGAAAATTTAGTATTTCACAATATTTTGTTGTTATCAATATAATAAATATTCTTATACATAATTTGTTAAGTATATGTCTTTTTATTTTCTCAAGATAAATTCTGAGAAATAGAAAAACAGAATCAAAGAATATAAGCATGTTTCAGGCTTTTGAAAAAACTCAAGTTGTCTTTTAGAAATGTTACATGAACTTTAACTCCTACAACCATTTGATAAATAATTCTATCTTACTGAGTCTTAACCAGCATTGAGTATTAATTTTTAAATTTTGCCTTGATTTGCATCCTTTTAATCCTTAGTAGGGTTGACTTTTTTACATATATTCATTGACTCTTTGTATTCCTTCTTTGATGAATCGCCTTTTTATATACATCACTGTTTTCCTACCAAATTTTTTGTTTCCATTCGATAGTAGATATTCTTGTATGTAAAACATATAAACCATTTGTCATATGCTGTAAATATTTCTCCTAGTTTATCATTTGCCTTTTACTTTAAGGACTTGTTTATATGTTTTAAATTTGCATGAAATGAAACCTTATTTCTTTTACTTATTTAGTTTTGTGCTTTGAAATCTGTTCATTTCCAAATGTAATACATAATTTCTTTTCATTTTCCTGTTTCTTAATTGTGTTAAAGTATTTTAAAATCTTAATTTTTAAATCTATCAAGAATTTATTTTGATGTGAGAAATGACAGAATTTAAACCTTCTTTTTACTTACTACTTATTTAATTTTTCCACTAACATTTATCTTCTCTATTGACTGTGGTGCTACGTTTTCATATACAAAATTACACATACACATATGTATACAAAGATTATTTTTGAAGCTGTCCTCTTTTGTCAGCCGTTTTCTCAATTCTTATACTTGCATCAGAATGTTTTTATTGTTGTTCCTTTATGTGTGGTGCATTTGATAGGCAATGAAGAAGACTGTAACCTTTCTTTTTCACTTGATGAAGATAAAAAGGAGAGAGGATGGAATAATATTATGATGATTGCCATTTTGGACCAAAAGATGTAAAAGGCACATGTAATAAGTTTTAGATAATAAACATATTAATCTTTCATTATGTTTAATCAATATAGCACATTGGTCATAGTATAGACTCTAATTCCACTATCTAAGCTTGTTGTATGTCTATCACTTCTTAATACCGTGAACTAGATTAAATTATTTAGCCAGTCTTTCATCTTTATAGTGGAGAAATAACAGCTACTATGTAGGGCTGTTAAGAATGTTAAATAAGATCAGACATTTAAAATTAACTTAGAACAGTGCTGGACATAAAGAACTCACAATTATTGCATTAAGTTAGCTATTTGAAACATAATGCATATCTGAAATAATTCTTTTTAGTCACTAAAACATAAGAATTGAAACAGAATCAAGCTTAATTTTTGGGGGGAGCAGATGTCATCATTTGTCACAACTTCATTAATTGAATAAGCCATCTTTCCCCCACACATTTGATGTAACCTTTGTCATGTGTAAAATGCACTGTTGTACTTGTGTCCATTTCTGGATTCGTAGCCATTTCCGTTGATCTTCTTTGCTCCCATGTCAAGCCATGTTATGAATTACAGAGTCCTTATTAAAGTTTTAGTATGCCATTGAATTAGCTTCTCTTCAGTATTCCTCTTTCAAAATAATTTTCTTGGAAAAGCATTTGAAAATCAGTTTGTTACAGCTCCTCCACCCACACATCAAAATCAAGAGTAATATCCTGATTTAATCCCTTTGAAAAGAGATTAAGTTTAGTTAGAACAAAATTATCTTTATTTCTGCTAAGATTGAGCAGAGTCTTCTTGTTTTTTCAACCCTATTTTTTGTGCATTTTTTTTAATTGTGAGACAGAGTTGTCTTGCTCTGATGCCCAGGCTGGAGTGTAGTGGCACAGTCTTGGCTCATTGTAACCTCCACTTCCCAGGTTCAAGTGATTCTTGTGCCTCGGTCTCCCGAGTAGCTGGGATTACAGGTGTGAGCCGCCACGTCTGGCTAATTTTTTTTTTTTTTTTTTTTTTGAGACAGAGTTTTGCTCTTGTTACCCAGGCTGGAGTGTAATGGCACGATCTCGGCTCACTGCAACCTCCGCCTCCTGGGTTCAGGCAATTCTCCTGCCTCAGCCTCCTGAGTAGCTGGAATTACAGGCATGAGCCACCATGCCTAGCTAATTTTTTGTATTTTTAGTAGAGACGGGGTTTCACCATGTTGACCAGGATGGTCTCGATCTCTTGACCTCGTGATCCACCTGCCTCGGCCTCCCAAAGTGCTGGGATTACAGGTGTGAGCCACCGCGCCCGGCCAATTTTTGTATTTTTTTCTAGAAATAAGGTTTCACCATGTTGGCCAGGCTGGTCTCGAACTCAAGTTATTTGCCTACCTTGGCCTCTCAAAGTGCTAGGATTACAGGCATAAGCCACCATGTCTTACTCCAATCCTATTTTTAGCACTGAAAATTCTAAAACTATATATAGGTTCTAAGTATTTTTAGGAAATGTATTTTTAGGAATTTACATTATTATTGCTATTGTAAATTTCATTTAAAAATAATTTATAATTATTACTTATATGTCTGAGCTTTTTCTATAGTCTTAGATTTTATGTAACTTGAACTTTATTGTGATGTATTTCATATAACCAAAAGAATATATGAAAACATATATATGTACAATTTAAAATATAATAATATGGATACCCACCATTGAAATCAGCATATACTTTTTTTTCTTTTTAAGACAGACTCTCATTTTCTCTCCCAGGCTGGAGTGCAGTAGTAGCACAATCTCAGTTCACTGCAACCTCCACCTCCCAGGTAATGTTTCTATTTTTTGTAGAGATGGGGTTTCACCATGTTGGCCAGGTTGGTCTCGAACTCCTAGCCTCAAGTGATCTGCCTGTTTTGGCCTCTCAGAGTGCTGGGATTGTAGGCATAAGCCACCATGCCCAGCTTAAATCAGCCTAAACTTTTAAAAGCCGGCTGATGATTCCAGACTTTCTTTCCCACTCCTTTCCTAAAAGAGCAGCCATATCTTAAATGTTGTTATTCCTTAGTTTTTTTCCCCCTGTGCTTTTAACTACATACACATTTCTAAACAAAATTGTTTAGTTTTTCATATTTTTCAACACTATATAAATGGAATCACTTTATATTCTTCCATGAATGGGGTCTTTTACATAATGTTAACTTTTACAATGCATCCATGTTGATTGATGTAGTTGTAGTTCATTTTCACAGCTGTGTACTATTTCATAGTATGAACAACTTACCTATTCTACTGTTGTTGGACATTTTGGATTGTTTTGGTTTTTTACTGTTTTTATTATGCTCTAATTGTTCTTATACAGATCTTTTGGTATACATGTATAATCTCTAGTTTATAATTCTAGTAGTAGGATTTCTGAGATCATGAATTCCCTTATAATTGTTAATAGTTTTCAGCTGATTTTCTTGGCTCTCTCAGATATGCAGTTATATCCTCTACAGATAATTTTGTCTAATTGTATTGTCATGTGTTTTCACTGTAGTACTTTAAAAATTGTGGAACTGCAGTATTCTTGTTAAGTTTCCAGTTTTAATTAGAATGACTTTAATGTTTTACCTTTGGGTTTAAGATAATGTGTGTGTGCCTTTTCCTTTGTTTTGTTTTGCATGCTTTCTATTTTTAAATGAAGGATGCATGTTGAATTTTAAGAAGTATACTTTTTGGCATCCATTGAAATAATCATATGGCTTTTCTTATTTGATGTTATTGTAAAAGTTTAAAGTTAGTAGCTTTCCTAATTTGAACCTTCCTTTACTTTCTGGAGTAAACTACCACTTTACCATGCTATAATATGCTTTGGTATTACAATAGGTTAAATTTTCCAAAGATGGCCATACTTATCATTTATGCTATTTTCATGCTCTTCTTACAATATGACTGACACTGTTTCCACTGAAAGGTGGGGTCTTTGTCCTGCCCCTTTCAAATATAGCCATGGCTTGTGATTGCCTCATCAGTGGAGTACAGCAGAAGTGATAGGATGTGACCTCCAAGGCTAAGTCATAAAAAGAATGCAGCTTTTGCTTGCCTTTCTTTCTTTTGGGAAACTTGCACCATGTTGACAGATGGTCCCCACCACTTGAAAGGACCACATGGAGAGAAACATATCTCTCATCAACATTTAGACCAGCCTGCCAGCCACGCAAGTTAGCCACCCTGGAATTGAATCCTTCTTCTCAGTCAAGCCTTTTGATGACTGCAGATCCAACAACGCAACAATCTTGTGAGAGATTCTAATTTTACTACTATAGTTTTGGTGATATGTCAGTATCTGGTAGTCTTCCTGTTTGTTTTACTTGTCTTGACCAACTTATTTCCTTCCTTGTCAGTTTTAAGGAAAAGAAGTCTATTGTGTTCCTCAAAATAGCCATCTGGAAATTTGACTGGAATGTATTGAATTTAAGTTACTCCATCCAAGAGCATGGAAGCATGCTTCTCCTTTATTTAGATAATCTTTCTTCTTTATTGGAATTTAGAAGCTTTCTTCAAAGAATTCTTTGTATTCTTGGTTAAGTTTTTTTTTCTGGTGTGAATGGTATCTTACTTTCTAGTAGTTGATAACTAAATCAGTTAAGCTATTTCTTTATTGCATCTGGTTTTTTTGGTTTGTTTGTTTTGCTGAACTCTCTTAACTTATAGTTTATTGTATACTCTTGGTTTGTCTAGGTAGATGGCTGTAACTATGCAAATAAGGACATTGTATATTTTTGCTTCTAATCCTTATATCTTTTAATTCTTTTTCTTATAGTATTTCCCAGAATCTCTAATGCTGTGTTGAAAGCAGCAGTGATGATGGTCATTCTTGTTACCAGTGTAAAGGGAATATATGAAGTTTCTCCATTAAGCTTAAAGTTCTTTATATTTAACCTTTGCGACTTTAGGGAGTTTATGTTTTTCCTCTAGTTTGCTAAAAATGTTTTTAAGACAAAATATGGATGTTGAACTTCCTGAACTTTATAATCACATGATTTTTCTGCATCAGTTGAGATTATCATGGATTTCTTCTGTAGTCTATTGATATAGTGAATTATGTTAATAGGTTTTTCTCATGTTGAACAATCCCTGCATTCCTATAATAAACTGCCTGATCATGATGCATATATTCAATATATTACTGAATTTAATTAGCTAATATTTTATTTAGGATTTTTGAATATTTACAAAATTTACAAATTAGCCTGTAATTTAATTTTATTTATATTGTTCTTATCTGGTCTTGGAATCCAAGATTATACTAGCTACATAAAATAAGTTGGCAATTTTCACTCTCTACTTTTGAAAACAATGTATTAATAGTAATTAACTTAATTACATGTTTGATAGAACTCAACTATAAAACTGTTAGAACCTTGGGATTAGGGAGAGAGATGAAGAGTGTGGCTACCATTTTAATTTAGTACTTACTAGTCTGTATTTTTTAGTCTTTCATATTTTTGCCATATTTTCTTCTTTGTACTTTACTGGGAATTGGTCCCTTTATTTAGGTACATATTTATGTACATTTGCCTATAGTTCATAAATATCCTTATATATAGTTCACAACACCTTTGCATCATTGAAAAATCTATGTCTGAAATTATTTCCCCATTGTGTGCTGTAGTTTTTTCATAACTGTCTTTTTAAAAATATGACTTTCATTGATCTGACATTAAATTTTTAAGAACATCTTTTGGCTTTATGCATTTTCTCAATCATTTGTTTCTTATATCTTTCACTTCCACTTCACTCTTCTTTTTTGAAGTTTGCTATTTTTTTTAAATGGGAAATAGTTTCTCTTTTTCACATTCCTGAGTTGAATGCTTTATTTCTACACATTTTTTTTTAACTTTTAGTATTAGGGGCATCTATGCAGGTTTGTTATATAGATAAATTGTGAGTCATGAGTGTTTGGCATTCAAATTATTGTGTCAGCCAAATAAAGCATAGTACCAGATAGGTTGTTTTTTGATCCTCTTTCTCCTCTCTTTATCTACCTTTGAGTAGGCCCTAATGTCTGTTGCTCCCTTCTTTGCATCCATGTGTTCTCAATATTTAGCTCCAACATATAAGTGAGAACATGCAGTGTTTGGTTTTCTGTTTCTGCATTAGTTCACTTAGGATAATGGCCTGCAGCTCCATCCATGTTGCTGCAAAGGACATAATTCTGTTCTTTTTTAATGCTTGTGTAGTATTCCACGGTATATGTGTACCACATTTTCTTTTTCTAGTCTATTGTTAATGGGTATTTAGGTTGATTCCATGTCTTTGCTATTATGAATAGTGCTGTAATGAACATATGCATACTCATTGTCTTTATGGTAGAACAATTTATATTCCTTTGGGCATATACCCAGTAATGGAATTGCTAGGTATGGTAATTCTGTTTTGAGTTCTTTGAGAAATCGCCACACCTCTTTCCACAATGGGAAATAATTTTCATTCCCACGAGTAGCGGATTTAAGTATTCCCTTTTCTCTGCTACCTTGTCAGCATCTTATTTTTTGAATTTTTAATAATACCCATCTGACTAGTATGAGATGGTATCTCACTATGGTTTTGATTTGCCTCTATCTGATGATTAGTGATGTTGAGCATTTTTTCATATGCTTGTTGACTGTGTGTATGTCTTCTTTTGGAAAGTGTTTGTGTATGTCCTTTGCCTGCTTTTTAATGGGGCTGTTTTTTGCTTAATTTGTTTAAATTCCTTATCAATTCTGGACATTAGATCTTCGTCAGATGCATAGTTTGCAGATATTTTCTCCCATTCTGTAGGTTGTCTATTTACTCTCTTAGTTTCTTTTGCTGTGTAGAAGCTCTTTAGTTTAATTAGATCCCATTTGTCAATTTTTGTTTTTGTTGCAATTGCTTTTGGTGTCTTCGTTATGAAATCTTTGCCAAGTCCTATGTCCAGAATGGTATTCCCTAGATTATCTTCCAGGATTTTTATAGTTTTAGGTTTTCATGGAAGTCTTTAAATCATGTTGAATTGATTTTTATGTACATAATAAAGGGGTCTAGTTTCGGTTTTCTGCATATGGCTAGCCAGTTATCCCAGCTCCGTTTATTGAATAGGAGTCCTTTCCCCATTGCTTGTTTTTGTCAACTTCGTTGAAGATCAGATGGTGGTAGGTGTCAGGCATTTTTTTTTTCTGGGCTCTCTATTCTGTTCCATTGGTGTATGTGTCTGTTTTCAGATCAGGACCCTGCTGTTTTGATTACTGTAGCTTTTGAAGTCAGGTAACGTGATGCCTCCAACTTTGTTCTTTTTGTGTAGGATTGCCTGGCTATTTGAGCTACTTTTTGGTTTTATATGAATTTTAAAATAGTTTTTTTTTTTCTAATTCAGTGAAGAATGTCATTGGTAGTTTGATAGAAGTAACATTAAATCTGTATATTGCTTCAGTATGGCCATTTTGATGACGTTGATTCTTTCTATCCCATGAGCAGGGAGTGTTTTTCCATTGCATATGTCATCTCTGATTTCTTTGAGCAGTGCTTTGTAATCCTTGTTGTAGGAATCTTTCACCTCCCTGGCCAGCAGTATGCCTAGGTATTTTATTCTTTTTTGTGGCTATTGTAAATTGGATCACATTCTTGATTTGGCTTTCAACTTGGATGTTGTTGGTATATAGAAATGCTACTGATTTTTATACATTGGTTTTGTATCCTGAAACGTTCCTGAAGTCGTTAATTAGCTGAAGGAGCTTTTGGGCAGCAACTCTGGGATTTTCTAGGTATGGAATCATATCATCTACAAACAGAAATAATTTGATTTCCCATCTTTTTATTTGGATGGGAATAAAATTTTATTTCTTTGTGTTGCCTGATTGCTCTGGCTAGGACTTCCAGTACTCAGTACTGTGCTGAATAGGAGTGGTGAGAGTGGGCATTTTTGTCTTTTTCTGGTTCTCAAGGTGAATACTTTCACTTAGTCAGTTTAATGTTAGTCTAGCTGGGTTTTTTAGTGTTTTTTTTTTTTTCTTTTTTAGACAGTGTCTTGCTCTGTCTTGCAGGCTGGAGTGCAGTGGTACAATCACAGTGCACTGTAGCCTTGACCTCCCAGGCTCAATGGATCCCTGCACCTCAACCACCTGATTAGCTGTGACTACAGGTTTGTGCCACCATGCCTGGCTAATTTTTATATTTTTTGTAGAGATGGGATTTCTCCATGTTGCCCAGGCTAGTCTCAAACTTCTGGGCTCAAGCAATCTGCCCACTTTGGCCTCCCAAAGTGCTGGGATTACAGGTGGGTGCCACTTTGCCCAGTTGCTCTAGCCATTTTTGTTTCCTTCAAGTATTTCATTTGGATCTTGCAAATAGTTTTGTGTAATTATTGTCATTATTACGTTTAGATTTTTAAGAAAAAACAATTAAGAATTGTTGTTATATTTTCCTTTTAAATCCATAGGTTACTTAATAATATGTTACTTGGGTTTCAGAAGCTCAGACTTTTAAAATTCTATTGTTAATATTTTCAAATATTATTACATTGTAACTAGAGAATGTATTCTGTATTAAGTTGATGCTTTAGAATTTATCTTGATTTCTTTTATGGGCTAATACATGGTCTATCTTATAATACTACTATGGATTCATGAAAATAATATGTATTTTGATGGTGTAGAGTTCAACACAGATAAAATAACTGAAGCTTATTATTTGTAGTAGTCTTCGTATTATTGGGGTTTTTTTGTTTGCTTGATCTATAATTTTTTGAGAAATTTATTTTGGATATTTTTTCTTACTGTTCATATGAAAAATGTTTTTGTTCCTTATAGTATTTTTGCCATAAATTTTCCTCATCTGAAATTAAGTTTGCTATTTGAGCTTTCTTTTGATTCATATTTTGTGTCATGTCTTTTTCTATCCTTGCATTTTTAAATATTTTTCTTTTTAGTGTATCTCTTCTAAACCACATGTTAAATCTTATTTTTTAATCTTTGAGTCTATCTTTTAATTTGTGAGATTAAATTATTTAAATTTATTATAACAACTGTTATATTATTTTTTCCATCTTTTTTATTTTCTGTTTTCCTTTAGAGCAAGCTGTCTTCTGTTTTTGTTTTTTTGGTTTTTTTTGAGACAGAGCCTCACTCTGTCGCCCGGTGCCAGGCTGGAGTGCAGTGGCACAATCTCGGCTCACTGCAACCTCCACCTCCCAGGTTCAAACAATTCTCCTGCCTCTGCCTCCCAAGTAGCTGAGACTACAGGCACATGCCACCATACCCAGCTAATTTTCTTTTGTATTTTTAGTAGAGATGGGCTTTCACCATGTTGGCCAGGATGGTCTGGATCTCTTGACCTTGTGATCTGCCCGCCTCAGCCTCCCAAAGTGCCGAGATTACAGGCTTGAGCCACTGTGCCTGGCCTGTTTTTGTTTTTTATAGATTCCATTTTGGTTCTTATGATGGCTGTGCTTAACTTAAAACCCACATTGACTTTTATTTATCCCTACTGACTTTTTAAATGTATCAATATCTAGGTCATATTTTTGATAAGACATGGACTTTAGCACACCCTTATGTCCTTTTCTTTCTCCCTTCATGTTTGTATTGTCAAGAATTATAGTTTAGATATATATAGGAATTAATATACTTTCTATGTCTCTTTTTCTCTTTGCTCCTATTTTTTTGTTTTGTTTTATAATAAAAATAAACTTTATCAAGGTACTTGATCACCTTTCTTGTCATATCTCATGCAGCCTTTCCTGGATTTGTTTATCTTCTTAATTGACTTGTTAGAAAAATAGAGCGGTAAGTGTATATATTTTAAATATATTTAGGTTATTTATTAAAATAATAGAAACTGTGTGAAATTGAAATCAACATAGATGAAAACGTGGAGATGAGAAGAAATCAAAGCATAAAACTATCAGTCTAAGAGACAGGAAAGGAAGAATTTTAAAAAATCATATGTTAGAAATAAGTCTATATTAGTAATCACAATAAATGAACATGAATAAGAAAACTGAGTCATACTGATTGGATGAAAAGCAGAAATCTTGCTCTATGCTCTTTATAAGAGACCTATTTAATGTCACAATAAAAGGTCAGTCATGTTAAATAATGGTAAAGATCCACCAAGGAGATGTATTAATCATGAACTAATATGTAGCTAAGAATGCGTTTCAAATTGTATACAGCAAAATCTGACAATAACAAGAAGGAATCAAACTCCAGATGTATAGAGCATAATTTTAACTGACCTTTCTTGAAAAAGACCTTAAAGAAAACTAATAATTGGAGAGAGCTATGAGAAGACAAAAGAGATACCAAGTTTATATAATATTGTTGGGTGGTTACTTATATACCAAAAGAGGAGTGGAAAATTAGCAAACTCCTGGGAGAAACAGAACATCCTCGTTGGTAAAGGAAATGCAACAAGAATGAACCTGGACGTTGGTTGTGTCAGAAAACAAGGAAGCTCTCAAATGCTAAAAAAGGTCATATTACACACCCAGGAGCCAACCTGAAGGGATTCCTGCTAGTCTAAGATGAGAGAATCTTGCACATCTAAAAGAAAAATGACTGCAATTTAATTGCAACCCATCCAGTATGTAAGAATCAATGAGCTTATGAAAAGACTGAAAAGCAATACAGATCTCATTGTTCATAGTTGATGATTGCTTTGTCCCATCTCATACTCTGAAAATTGATTTTTAAAAGAGAGTAAGTTGAGAGATAAACATTTTATCTTGTCCTTTTCTTTAGGACTACATTTCGGGGTAACCAGAATATTTGTAATGGCAGGTTTTTCATTATGTAAGAATTATAGCATATATATGCACAAGGAAGGGTAGAATTATAGAATTAGACAACCAATTTATAAAACCTAATGAAGTCACAAATCTAGGAAATGATCATCATTTACTGTTAAAACTTTTAGTTAAAGGTTTAAGAGAATGTTAGAATGGAAGGAATGGGCTGACAGCACCTGAAGCCATTCTTCAGTTTAGCTAACTGAAATGTACTACAGGAAGTACACAGGCAGGCATCCTTTTTCGAAAACTGTAGTTAAGTCTCTGGGATAAAAGAACCAGCTAACAGTGGCCAGGCGCAGTGGCTCACACCTGTAATCCCAGCACTTTGGGAGGCCAAGGCAGGTGAAGCACTAGGTCAGGAGTTTGAGACCAGCCTGGCCAACATGTTGAAACCCCATCTCAACTAAAAATACAAAAAATTAGCTAGGCATGGTGACGGATACCTGTAATCCCAGCTACTCGGGAGGCTGAGGCAGAGGTTGCAGTGAGCTGAGATCTAGCCACTGTACTCCAGCCCGGGCAACAGTGTGAGACTCGGTCTCAAAAAAAAAAAAAAAAAAAAAAAGAACCAGCTAAGAGGAAGTGAATAAAGAACTTAAACACCACAAGAAAACAATTAACCATATCACTTTTAACCCTTCATAATTCATTAGTTTGGAGTATATCTCTTATAAGTAGTATGCCACTTTATTTTAAAACTCAATTTTAGTATCCTTTTTTCTATCAATAGGTTTACTTGTCATTTTAGTTTATTGTTTATATAATTCTTTACTTTTTTCTGTTTAGATTTATTGTACTTACTAATTTTGAATATAGGTATCTTGCTTTTATTCCATTGGGGGAAAATATTTGTAACATATTTTTAAAAGTATTTTCAAGGGACATTTTGTAGCATTTTTTAGTAAACTGAAATACAGATGCCTGACAATTTCACTTCTAGAAATTTATCATATAGAAATATATCTATCATATTGAAATATTTTATCAAATTGATATATTTATCACATAGAAATACTACAATAGAAATAATGATATATTTAAGAGAATTATTTGGCTATATGTTATAGCCAAGAAACTGCAAACAATCTTAACATCCATTAGTATGGGAACAGTCAAGTCTTGGACATCAGTAAAGTGAAATGCTCTGTAACTTTTACAACTAACATATTAGGTATCTATTATTGTATAACAAATTATTCAATACTTAAAACAGCAAACATTATCTCACCCAGTTTCTGAGGCTGAGAAATCTGGAAGAAGAGTAGCTGTCTCAAGGTCTCTCATGAAGTTACAGTGAAGCTGTCAGCAGGGACTGCAGTCATCTAAAGGCTGCACTGGGGTTGGATGATCCACTGCTAAGACAGTTTACTCACATGGCTGTTGGCAAGATGTCTCATTTCTGAATGGAAGCAGAAGGTCCCAATTCCTCGCCACAAGGCTAAGATTTTCTCATGACATGGCATATAGCTTTTCCCAGAGCTAGTGATCCAAGAGAGAGAGCAAGAAAGAACCTGCAGTGACTCTTAAGACCTAGCCTCCAAAGTTGCACAACACTACTTTCTTTTCGACCTTATTTCCTATTCATCAGAAGTGACTCACTAAGTTCAGCCCATATTCAAGGGGTGGGGAATTAGGCTTCACTTCTTGAATGGAAAGGATCAAATAATTTGTAGGCATATTTTTAAATTACCACAAATAAGATAGGTCTACCTGTACTGAACTGGAAAGTTGTACACCATATATTAAATGATTTAAAAAAAAAAAAAGAAAATTGTAGAATTATCATGTCTTTGTTAAGGAAAAAATCAGTGAACTATGAATGTGTGCATACATGGAAGAAGGTTAAAAAGAACACAGTGAAAACTGGTTATAGTGGTTATATCTTAAATTATTTGGAAGAGGGTAGGCTTTTAATTTTTACTTACCTTCAGTATTTTAAACATTTATGAACTTATTTTCAGTAAAAGAAATTATGTTTTTTAAATGCTCAAATTTTTTTAAAAAAAACAAATCCAATAACTACAGATTGAGTTTATTTTTATTGTATTTTTTATTAAATTAGAGATCAGTGAGTCCATTTATTTTCCAGAAAGATACCAATGTTCAGTTTTCAGTCCTGTAGTTTGGGTTTTTGAGCATCCCAAATTTCTTTATTTATATATTTAAAATGGATTCATTATATTTTAAATGTATTAAATTTATTTTATAAACATTGAAAATAGACCACTAGATATTTAAATATGTAGTTCTGAATTTTCTCATTCTTGAGTTATTTGTGGTTAATGTTTTATTGTTTAGACATGCATTTTCATATAGTTTATTTAGATAATAAACTACATGTTTATTTTTAGTTTGGTGGTATATTTTTCATCCTTGAATATTTCAGTGCCTCTTTCTGTTGCCCTTCTTCATTAACACATTATGACAGTATATGGAAATCTTAACTGACAGCCCTTCATTAAACATTTTTAATTTATCTCACTTTTACTTAATAGGTAGGCCTAGATTTAAAAACCTCTATGATGTAACTACATAACCTTGTACAAGTAACTTTGTCTTGCTAAATGTTAGTTTGCTTATTCATTTAATGAATAATAATACCTTATTGGATTGTTCTGAGAGGAAATGAGATAACATAGCCCTATTCATGTAATAAACATTCACTAAGATTTAGCTGCTGCTATGATGGTGCTGCTGCTGATGATAGTATTTGTGTTTCCTTCCTTTTTATTGTAAACTCCTTAAAGTATCTGTATCCTTTATTCTTAGTAGGTACTCTATATTTTAAATTGAAATTGAGAACTGAGAATGTGTGATCAAAGAAATAAAATGAAAAATTTTAAAAGAAATAAAATGGTTTTGTCACATAACCAATTTATGATTTGTTCTTTCCACTAAAAGAAATACTTAGGCAGTTTTAATACATATATTTATCTCTTCTTCATTCTGAAATGCATAATTATAGTAGAAAGCTACCTACAACATGGGATTTCTGTGAGGAGTAACTGAAATATAAGTAAAAAACTTAGTAGTTAGTAGACAAGTGCTAAATAGGTGTTTCTTTTGATAGTGATAATGTTTGATGAGTGGGTTTATTAGTTAGCTATTTCACTGCTATTGTTATACTTCTCCTTACCTTTCTTGGTTTTCTTCTTTATTTCTTTTTTCTATTTGGCTTGCCACTTACATTATCTGCTAAATGTCTTTATCTTTATTCAACTTCTTACTTAGATTTTCTTCTTCCTAGAAAGCCTGATCTTTGGCCAGATGGCAGTAACATTTGAAGATGTGACTATTATTTTTACTCAGGAAGAGTGGAAATTTCTGGATTCTTCTCAAAAAAGGCTCTACAGGGAAGTCATGTGGGAGAACTACACAAATGTCATGTCAGTAGGTAAAGTTTTCCCGTTTCATAGGGAATAGTCAGAGTTTCTTCTTGGAACAGTTTTGTTGAGTATTTTGTTTTGTATTGTTTTTTATCTGGGTGTTATATTGAGGTGTTGTAAGAGATATTCTCAAAAATATTTCTTAAATCAGGTTACAAATAGAAGATAAAGCAAGACAGATTCTAGGACACCTAGGTTGTATCATTAATAGGTACTTGTGATTATTAGTTTTAGTTATTTTCTGCATTACCCCTAAAGCTCATATCTCCATACATAGTCAGTTTTGTGTTGTCCTAAATGTTCTCTCTCTTCACACTATTTTTATAAGTTAGCTTTTGTTGTATAACATACTATGCCAGACTTAGTGGCTTAAAAACAAACTTTATTATTTTTTATGATTCTTATTGGCTGGATGGATCTTTTATCATGGAGATCTTCCGTTGTGGCTGAATGGTCTAAGATTAAGCTGGCTGGCCTGAGTCACATGTGGCGCAGTTGGCTCAGTATCAGTGGAGGTAGTGAGAATGTGTTGGCCATGTATCTCTCTTCAAGCAAGCCAACCCAAAGACACTTACATGGTGGTGGTCACAGGATTTTCAAAAGCATCAAGAGAGAGGGCAAGGAGTCTCTCAAGTCTCTGCTTGTGTTACTTTTGTTATTTTCTCACTTACCAAAGCAAATTGTGTAGCCAAACAGAGAGAGAGTATGGAAGAACACCAATGGTGTAGGCAAAGTAGCAAGTTAATGTCATTTTTTCTCAATCTGCCACACTATTCTAGAACAGAAAAATAGGAACAATATATTTTGTTTCTTATAATAATATCCAAAATAATCTAATTAAATCTTAGCCTTTAAGACTATTTCCATGAAGCAGGTGGCATTATTCTCATTTCTAACAGTGCCTGGGTAAATAGCAGTTAAATATTTCTAACACAGTGGCTGCTCAAGATACACTTGTTGAATGAATAAATAAGTGAATGAATGAATACATACATGAATGGACAAAAAAATGAATTTCAAACCCAGATGGAGCGGCCAAAGTCATAACCCTTCTTTTCTACTCCCACCCACACATCCTATTATTTAGAGGCCATTGATTTAGAGAGTTGAACATTTTTCAACACAACTTTTATCTCACCATGGGATTATCTTTTTCTTCTAGGAAACTGGAATGAGAGCTACAAATCCCAAGAAGAAAAATTCAGATATTTAGAATATGAAAATTTTTCCTGCTGCCAAGGCTGGTGGAATGCTGGCACTCAGATATATGAGATTCAGAACTATGGGGAAACTGTTCAAGGGGAAGATTCCAAAGACCTAAAACAGCAAGGTTTTTCCCAGTGTCAGGAATGGTTAATATTCTCTACACAAGTACCAGGGTATGGGAACTATGAACTAACTTTTGAAAGCAAAAGTCACAGGAACTTAAAATATAAAAACTTTATACCTTGGCAGTCCTTAGAAACAAAAACCATTCAAGACTGTGGTAGAGAAGTCTACATGAGTGGTTCACATGGTTTTCAAGGGGGCAGATATCGTCTTGGTATATCCAGGAAAAACCTGTCCACGGAAAAAGAACAGAAGCTCATAGTTCAGCATTCTTATATCCCAATGGAGGAAGCCCTTCCACAGTACATTGGGGTGATATGTCAAAAAGACCTGCTGAAAGATTCGATGGAAGAGAAATACTCTGGATGTAATAAATGTAAAGAAATTTATTATTGGAACTCACAGTGTGTTTTTCACCAGAGAAATCAACCTGGAGAAAACCTCTATCAATGTTCCATCAGTAAAGCATGCTTCTCTCAGAGATCAGACTTGTGTAGACATCCAAGATTCTACATAGGTAAGAAGCTGTATGGATGTGATGAAGTCGACAGTAACTTTCATCTGAACTCAGGAGTTCACTTTCATCAGAGAGTTCACATAGGGGAGGCACCTTATAGCTGTAATGCATGTGGTAAGAGCTTCAGCCAGATCTCTAGTCTTCACAATCATCAAAGAGTCCACACAGAAGAGAAACTCTATAAAATTAAGTGTGATAAAGACCTCAGTAGAAATTCATTACTTCACATTCACCAGAGACTTCACATGGGAGAGAAGCCTTTTAAGTGCAATCAGTGTAGCAAGAGTTTTAGTCGGAGTTCAGTACTTCATGTTCATCAGAGAGTCCACACAGGAGAAAAACCATATAAGTGTAATGAGTGTGGTAAGGGCTTCAGCCAGAGCTCTAATCTTCGAATTCATCAGTTAGTACACACAGGAGAGAAGTCTTATAAATGTGAAGACTGTGGTAAGAGCTTTACCCAACGCTCAAATCTTCAAATTCATCAGAGAGTGCATACAGGAGAGAAACCTTATAAATGTGATGACTGTGGAAAGGACTTCAGTCACAGCTCAGATCTTCGCATTCATCAGAGAGTCCATACAGGGGAGAAACCCTATGCTTGTCCTGAATGTGGGAAGGGCTTCAGTAAGAGTTCAAAGCTTCACACTCATCAAAGAGTACATACTGGAGAGAAACCCTATAAATGTGAAGAGTGTGGCAAGGGATTCAGTCAGCGTTCACATCTTCTCATTCATCAGAGAGTCCATACAGGAGAAAAGCCCTATAAATGTGATGACTGTGGAAAGGGTTTTAGTCACAGTTCTAATCTTCACATTCATCAGAGAGTCCATACAGGAGAGAAGCCTTATCAATGTGCTAAGTGTGGTAAAGGTTTTAGTCATAGTTCAGCTCTTCGAATTCATCAAAGAGTCCACACAGGAGAGAAACCTTATAAATGCCATGAATATTATAAGGGATTTGATCATAATTCACATCTTCTTAATAATCATAGAAGAGAAAACTTATAAATGTTGTTCATTTAGTTAACAGCTTTAATCAAAGTTTACGCAACCTTTAAACTCTATAAATGCTGCTGGTAAGGAAATCCTATAAATAACACAAGTAATATCAAGCAAGATTTTTCATATCCCATATCTCCCACTAAGAATTATTTCCTTCAAAAAGAGATCCTTAGAAAAATCCCTATATATTTAAAATTACAGTATATTTTTCTTTACCTACTATAAATATAATATGCAATCATAAAATATATTAAACATTTAAGGAGAAAACTTCATCCTGTTTCACTCTAGTCTTTTTTTCTGTGCATTTTAATGTGCATGAAATTATATTGTGTGTTCAACTTTGTATTTTCACTGACTTCAAAACATTTACTTAAATTTTGGTTTGAATTGAAACTGTCCATCTGTTAAACAGCATCCCTTAACTACCCTAAAAAATCTCTAGGAAGTCACAGAAAAGATGAAAACACACAAAACTTAAAACTCAGTTTTAACCAATAGAATTCAATTGTTTATGGACAAAATCCACCTAATGAAAGATAGGAAAGCATTATACAACTTTGTATCTGAGATAGTGTAGCTGTGAGTTGTTATCTCTGTCAACCAGAAAACCCAGCGACCACCCTTCCGTTGCAGGGGTGCTGAACTTTGAGGTAAACACAATGCACTCATATCCCTTCCCTTTCATGGTTTTCCATGCTTGTTCACAGGTTCATAATTCAAATAAGAAGTACAGAATTTAGTTTATCTAAAGTGTGAAGGGTTTGGACAGAAGTACTAGAAATGTAAGATGCTCCATTGGTTCAGAATTAGAGATCCAAGCAATATAATTTTATTTAATCTCAGTAAACTGAGTGGTAATAGAGAACTATCTGCTAGGATAGCATTGAACTCAGAATTCTGTACAACGACGTACCCTGAAGCTAATTATGTAAGAAGAGAGTTTGGCCATTATAAAAATGGAATAGATTTAATAGGAATACACAGTCCTAATTATTGATATACAAATATGCTTAGGTAGTACTTCCCAAGAGAAAACAAAAGCAAGGGACCTGCTTAGGAAAATAAGAGGGAATTGCAATGCCAAAGAAAAGAATATCATCCTAAAGACTTCGAAACTTATTGCCCTGAAAATTAGCTACTGCAGGCTCCAGAGGAAATTTCTAAATTGTTGGTATCCTCAGTGGCATAACAGAGAACCTCAATTCAATAAAGCTAGAGTAGAAATGTACAAGTAGGGGAGAGTCTCTAAAGTAAAAAGAGAAATAGGTACAACAAAGAAGGACTTCAGGGAACTCTGAAATGCTATATCAAAATAAAAGGCAATAAGTAAAAACATTGCAGAATATAAAATAATTGATAGTTAATGGGTAAACTTGATCTGATCTTAAATGTATAGGAAAAGGATAATGAGATGGAAACTGAGAAAAGGCAGATATGAAGATCAGAGAATGAAAGTCCAGTGTGAGAATTAAAGGTGTTTCTAAGGAAGGTGAAAGAACATTTGGAATAGAATCAATGATCAAAGACATTAAGAAACTTTCTGAGTTAAAAGTATACAGTCACTAAATTTTAGGCAAACCCCGTATCAAAGCAACCTTAGAAACAGCTTAGAAATAAAAGCAATTTAAAGCATGCAGAAAGAAAAATTCTGGTTATCTGCAAAACCAAAAATGGGAGGGTTGAGAAAGACCTCTGCAACAGTAACTCAGAAGACAATGGAACAGCACCCTCAGAATTTTCAGATTTGACAAGTTTGTTATCACTAAACAGTTTTATAACAAAACTGTCTTTCATATGTACAGGAAACAAATATTTTTGATAAGCAAGAAAACAGTATAGTATACCTGTCCCTAAGAGTTCATGAATGTGGAAATCATGGTATAAAAGGACTAGTGATGAGCCCTGAAATCAATTAAACATGAATTGTCTGAATAGTTTGCAAAACTTCAAAAAATTAAATGTGCAAGAAAATACACAAATGCCGAGTGTAAAATGTACAAATGCTGAGTCTGGTAGGAGAGTAAGGTGTCCCCAGAGAATACTTGTTTTAGTATTAATTGTTTTATAATATTGCATGGGACTTAGACTAAAATTTTATACATTTGAAATTCAAATTTATCAGGTCATTTCTGTTTTTATTTGCTACATCTAGCTACCCTATGGTTGAGGAGAGCAAAAGTGCCAATTTCTGATCTTAAATAGCAGGGACTCATAATAACATTTTCTTTTTGACTGACAATTTAAGAAAGGTCTTTTTTGTTTTTACAAACTTAAAATTGCAACTAATAAAACTAAAAAGAGTGCATATGCCTTTCGAAATGGGAGAAGATAAAAGCAAAAAATATTCAGTTTCTATAGCAATGACTAACAAAAAAATCCCCAAGAAGTTGGCCTAAAATATTAAAAGAAATGGATGAAGATGATTAAAGCCAAATGTATCAAAATATGTTCAATGCTTTATTTAAAAATGTTGAAAAAAAATGGGTTAAAAATTTCTAATTACATGCTATAACAGATGAAAAGGCCATATTGCTTAGAGACCAGGTAAAGGTTTATTAGACAAACATAAAGGAGTACCTACAATACGTTTTTAAAGGTTAAAAATGCACTAATTTATTAAGGTAGATAAAAATACAAAATCATTAGTTTTTTAAACTCGTGATATTCAGAAAAATGTCAAAATGTTTGGTTTTTAATAACAAAATTTAAAGAGGAACAAATAAAAATTCTGGATGAAAATAATTTTAAAAAGGAGAAACATAAAAGAGGACTAGAGAAGTCTTAATTTTCCTGAAAGGAATGTTCCTAATTTATAGATTTATTTCAGATCTCATGGAAATCCCAATGAATTTGAGATAAAAATGCTCTAGTCGGCCGAGTGCGGTGGCTCAAACCTGTAATCCCAGCACTTTGAGAGGCCGAGGCGGGTGGATCATGAGGTCAAGAGATTGAGACCATCCTGGTCAACATGGTGAAACCCCCTCTCTACTAAAAATGCAAAAAAAATTAGCTGGGCACGGTGGCGTGTGCCTGTAATCCCAGCTACTCAGGAGGCTGAGGCAGGAGAATTGCCTGAACCCAGGAGGCGGAGGTTGCGGTGAGCCGAGGTCGCGCCATTGCACTCCAGCCTGGGTAACAAGAGCGAAACTCCGTGTAAAAAAAAAAAAAAGCTCTAGTCTTTTAAGGAAAATAAACATTGGAGAAGGGCAAAGATAATTATAAGAATAATGATATTGCCCTGATGTATAATAAATGGTATACTGGTATATGAAGTTGTAATAATGGAGAATTTAATTGTATATTTCAATAAAAAGGATTCTAAGTCACTAAATAGCTTAAAATATACCAGTGTATGGATTATATATGTGTACTTAACATATAGTACATGTATTTATAGAGTTCACACATGATAAAGATCTGTGAGTAGGATTATTCAGTAAATCATGCTGAGATCATTATTTAACTCTAATAACAAAGTAGACTTTCTTGATCTTCTCAGAATAAAACAATTGAATTCAAATTTTCAAGCTGTGTTCCATCACCTCCATGTGGTTTCATGAAGACTAGTACCTTTAGAAACGAGAACTGCAAATTTAGCCCCATTTTATCTCATCATATACAAAAATAACTTAAGACTTTATTTTTTTAAAGGAGGTTCCACTACTCTAAAATATTCATAAATCTCTAGAGTGGATTTTTAAACACTTAGGAAAAAAATACTACATAAGTAGACCACATAAAAAATTTTAAACTGTGGGTGAAAAACATGTCAGATAAAAATAGGAGATTTATTTGCCATGATTATGACAGTATGAACTCTTTTTAATTAAGTGGACACCTAGTTTAAAAGTTTGACAAAGGATATAAACAGATTAAAGCAATGAAGTATCTTTTTTTTTCTTTAACAAAAATGACAGTAGCCATTTTCAGCAAGAGTAGAGTAATGTTTACTTAGGTTGAGAGTAAATTGATAACAACTCTTTGGAAAAACAATTTGACTAATCCTGAGCCTTAAAATTGCTGCTACTTTTCTATAGTAATTCTATATCTAGGAATATATTCTATGGAAATAGTTTCATACTATTAGGGTGCTTGTAAAGAACATATCCACTCAAGTGATCGCATGTAAAGAATAGGGTTATATAACATTACATAGTAGAATCTCACACACACATACGCAGATCTCAGGATGTTATCTTACTAAAAGAAGTGAGGGAGCAAGTGAGCCATGGAGCTCTCCATCGAAAAAGAATTCCATGTAGAGGGTAGAGCAAGTACAAAGGGTCTGAGGCTGGGAATGGACCTGGAATGTAATGCAGCACTGTAAGGGAGGAGGATAATAGGGAATGAAGTTAAAGGTAATATGGGCCTTGTAAGTCATTGTAAAGGCCTTGTCTTTTACACTGTGAAATAAAAAGTCACTGGTGAGTTTTAAGTGACATGATCTAACAAATGTAAACAAGCTTACTCTGAATGCTGTGTTAAGAATTAACAAAGTAGAGGCTAGATCCAAAGCAGGGATTCCAATTAGGAGGTATTGCAGTTACCCCTAAAAGAGATAAGGTGTTAACATAGTGTTAACAGTGGAGGTGAGATAAATAATCAAGTTTTGGATATATTTTGAGCATGATGAATATATCCGAAAGTAATTTTAAAACCGGGCTTTAGGTAGTATTTTAATAGGTAAAAAGGAGGCCAAAATCCTTTACTACTTTATAGACAAGAAGAATTGCTTGTAAAATTTTACAGTTGAACACAGTGTTTTAGGGACAGTGAAATCAGTCTGTCTAGATTAATGTTTTAAGGTTAATTAAAATATTAATCTCAAATATCAATGTTGAGATTTAAGCTACTCTTAAGGGACTAGAGGGTTTTGTTTTTGTTTTTTCATCTGGACAATACAAAGCTCAAATTGTGCCATAGGAATAGTCATGCCCAACTTTGGGGAGCCCAACTTTAGGCTTTCCAGATAAAGTAGTTCTCATCTTAGTCCAGCATAAATTGCAGTAACCTGAGGGGGTGCAGAAGGAGGAGTTAAAGGTGTTTAAAGCAAAGTGAGAAAAATGCAAAGTTTTAGGAATAAATATAGCCTAGTGGCTAAGAGCAAGTCTTCCTGAGCTGAGATCAGTTTTTGTGAAGACAAAATATATTTCTACCTAATGTCAACAACATAATCATTGGCTCAATGTGAACTGGGAGTAAGACTCTCATAAGCAATTCTGGTAAAAAAAAAAAAGTACCAGAGTCTCTGTGGTTGTGTTACTCTGATACATTTTTTTTTCTTATTTTTTTATTGCATTTTAGGTTTTGGGGTACATGTGCAGAGTATGCAATACAGTTGCATAGGTATACACATGGTAGTGTGTTCTGTTTGCTTTCACCCCTTCACCCACATTTGGCGTTTCTCCCCAGGCTATCCCTCCCCACCTCCCCCTCCCACTGGCCCTCCCCTTTTCCCCCCAATAGACCCCAGTGTTTAGTACTCCCCTCTCTGTGTCCATGTGTTCTCATTTTTCATCACCCGCCTATGAGTGAGAATATGCGGTGTTTCATTTTCTGTTCTTGTGTCAGTTTGCTATGCAGCAATCAGAAATTATGAGTTCGTGTCATTTGGAGGGACATGGATGAATCTGGAGAACTCTGATACATTTTTTTACCAGAATTGCTGATGAGAGTCTATTACTCCCAGTTCACATTGAGCCAATGATTATGTTGTTAACATTAGTTTCAGATGAATGCAGTAAAAAATGAACAATAAAATAAAACCCCCTCAAAGCTCAATATTGTTCTGCATATTTCTTTGAGGCATCAGCAGGTTTTAAGTCATTGGAAGATGGGCTGAAGGCATTCTCTACATCATTATGCCTTTCCTAATTGTTTGAAATAAATTTCAGTTTTAAAGGCAAAAAAGAAAAAAAGTTTCAGAATCAGGCAGATCCTGTCAGAAATTCCTATAAAATTAAGTCCTAGTATCTATTGAATATTATATGGAGTATGCAGAGGCTGAAAAACTATGATCCTGTCAAAAAAGCAATACTATGATGTGTTTCTATCTCTTTTATCAGGCCTTAAAATTTAGAATACAGACCACAATCACTGCACCCATAAGATATCCTTCACTGAACATTAAAATTAATTGTCAGATGAATTAGAACTCTAACATTCTTTAAAATAGTTTCCTGGTAAACAGTGACAGCATAGTGGCTGAAGGATCCAAAAGACTCACTTGGGTTTTACCCAGAATCTGTCCTTTACCAATGGTTTGGGGTTGGGGTAATCTTTTGATCTCTTTGAGCTTAAGCAGCCTCAGCTATAAAATAAAATGTTGAAATAAGATGAGTCCTAAGGCTACTGCCCAAACAAATTTATCTTTTCTCTAGAATATGCCTATTCAAATAATAAAGTATTAATTTTCACAGCACACTGATTCTCAGAAGAGTTAAAATTTAATGTCATTTAAATTTCACAACTGCTTTGTGAAAGGTCCCACAGGGCACATTCTATAGTCAAGAGAAACTGTGGCATAGAAAAAGTTCATGATTCACCAGAGGGTGAGGTTCTAATCACAACCTTTTTTCAATGGATCAATATGTAATTTGGCTTTAATAATTAATGTGCAATATCAATTAGTATTTATTAAGCAATATTAATATGTCACAATATAGAATATATTATATATAAATATATAATATTTACTATATTGATTTGTTAATATTGAACTCATAAGACAACAGCACAATAATGCCTGAAGGAAGCTTCTCTTTCACATGTATTTTCTCCTAAGGCATATCACAGTCTTCTTGTGCTTAGGAACACCAGACAGCACTTTGGCACTATACTTGGGACCATTTTAAACAGCAAAAATCAACAAAAAGCACAGAAATGCTAAAACAGCACTAAATACATTGTGAAAATGATGCTTTTTATGGTATGAGACCTAAAACAAGAAGGCATGGCATTGCTTTGTTCCACCTCAGCTGGGCACATGTAACTTGGACAACTCGAAATTTTCCCTGCTCTGCATATGTGTACAAATGACTGGGGAAAGTGCTACAAGTATTAATTTTTGTTACAAATAAATTATAGGAAGTAGGTGAATCTACAAATATGAAATCCATTAGTAACGAAGTTAGACTGTATGTAAAAAGCTAGATAAGCCAATCGAACATAAAGGCATAAGAAAGAACAAAAAATAGGATACAGAAGAAAATATATTTGTAGCACGCTGCTTGTCTCCGTGTGGACAATATTGGCATAGTCATAAAAATGCTAACGCTGAAAACAAATTCACAAAAAATTGATAAAAACTTTATTAGTAGGATCAGGGAAGGGTGAGGGGGTATAAAAACACCAAATTTCCACTTCCCATAATAGACAAAAATCAGAAAGGAGTACCTAAAATTGGCAATCTTAACTGCATAAGCATAGTACTGTATTTAGAAATAAGTAGGTAAAAAAGAATCAGCTCAAAGCAATTCCTCTGAGGATCAGAAGCTAAAATGGAGTAGGAAATAGTGTTGCCAGAAAAAGGGTCCCAATCCAGACCCTAAGAGAGAACTCTTGTGTCTAAGCAGGAAGGAATTCAAGGAGAGTCGCAGAATACAATGAGAAGAGAGTTTATTGAAAGCTACCCAGATACAGAGTAGGGTGTCCTCAGCAAATGGAAGAATGTACCTTCTTTGTTTTAAACTCTTCTTATGTAGGGATCTTATCTATGTAAAAGCTATTATGTCTATGTGGGGGTAGGCTGACAGCGTGACAAAGTTTAGTACTTGGTTGATTTTTAAAAACTCTTCTTTGGCATTTTAGTGTATAAGCACATCAAAGCATGACCATATCTTAAAAGCATACATTGTTATGTGATTACTGGGACATCAGGACATTCTGCTGTCATAGGAGTTTGTCCTTGCAAGCATCACTAAGCTGCTTCCTTAGCCAAAAACATCTTATGACTGTGTGTTGTGACTGGCAAGGAATGTGCCTTGCTAGTTTTAAGATGGAGTTGATTTAGAAAATAGTATTACTGTAGCTCTCCTATACTCCTGTTTACTTAACAATAATATGACTAGCCAAGGCATTAACCTGGGTCAGAGGTCCCAGAATGAAAGCCTCCATAGCTGGATGAGTAGTACAGACCTCACAGCTGGTACATGGTATTAGACATGTGTTCATTGTAGAAGCTGAAAGAAAAGTTCCAATGGTTGTCTCTATGGGCCCCTTGGTGAGGAACAGATTTCTCACAGCATGTGACAGAATTCTGTGGCACAGCATGATCTGTCAGTCCTGTCCTCCAAATCTAACATAACTGAGTATTTTTCCCTCTGAGGACAATTTACACATTTTATTTACACTTTAGTGTTAGTGTAAAAAGGTAGATTTAAGACAAAGTTGATATCCTGTCCTATTATTTAAGCATGTTTATCCTATTTATGGCTGCAGAAGCTTCACAGATTCTTTGGCTGTTATTAGCAGTCTTAGCTCTTGAAATGTAACTTTAACAATATATTAATTTTGCCCCTT